CGAGGGGACCAATGCGGGCCCTTCACCGGCTACGGCCACAGCACCAACCGCCTCACCGCCTCCGTCTCCTGGGTGCCCAAGTACTCGGGCGTCTCGCCCCGGGACAAGTGCAAGCTCATCTGCCGCGCCAACGGCACGGGCTACTTCTACGTGCTGGCGCCCAAGGTGAGCCCTGAGGGCCCGCGGGGCGCGGGGACACGCGGGGTTTTGGTCTCCTCACCCTCTCGCGCCGTCCCCGCAGGTCGTGGATGGCACCCCCTGCTCCCCGGACTCCACCTCGGTGTGCGTGCAGGGCAAGTGCATCAAAGCGGGATGCGACGGCAAGCTGGGCTCCAAGAAGAAGTTTGACAAATGCAGCGTGTGCGGAGGGGACAACAAGAGCTGCAAGAAGGTCTCGGGCTTATTCACCAAGCCCATGTGAGTGTGCGGAGATCTCCCGGGATTGCCGTCTCCTTTCGGGATGGACACAGGGGAGGTGGTGGAGGTGGAAAGGAGGGTCATTCCAGAGCCAACTATCCCATCTCCAGTCCCTGTGCAGAGACTCCAAAGGAGCAGCAGGCCACATTTAATGTGCTAAAGGGGTTGGGCTGCTTCTGCTGCCTAAGTTTTCTCCAGAGTCTCTATGTTATTGAACCTGAGGAGCTAAAGTCTCTTCTTGAGCGACATCAGTTGTCACTTTAGTCTGGATGAAACTTGTTGTAGAGATTGGAAATGATCTTCTTTGCCTGGAAAGACAAAGAAACAGTTCTGAGGGTGGAAGCTGTTGCCATTTCCCCGCTTGACCCATCTCTTCTCTCCCAGGCACGGCTACAACTTCGTGGTGGTCATCCCGGCGGGAGCCTCCAACATTGACATCAGGCAGCGGGGCTACAAGGGCCTCGTGAGCGACGACAACTACCTGGCGCTGAAGAACGGGCAAGGGAAGTACCTGCTCAATGGGCACTTCATCGTCTCGGCCGTGGAGAGGGACCTCATGGTGAAGGGCAGCGTGTTGCGCTACAGCGGCACCGGCACGGCCGTCGAGAGCCTGCAGGCCTTCAAGCCCATCCAGGAGCCCTTGACCTTGGAGGTGCTCTCCGTGGGCAAGATGACTCCTCCGCGCGTGCGTTACTCCTTCTACCTGCCCAAGGAGAGCAAGGAGGACAAGTCGGCGTACAGGAAGGAGGGCAAGGGCCCTCCGGACCTCACCAACAGCGTCCTGAGCGTGTCCAACCGCGTGGACGCGGGGCGGCCGAGCTACAAGCGGCCTTCCTACAAG